AAATTGTCCAGTTTGTACAGGCCATTACTCAAATTCATGTTGAATGCTTCGGTATGTTTAATAAGACTAGATTCTATGATGTTCCTACTATCAATTGAATTACAAGGTAATATTGAGGAGGCATTATCCCAGTCAATGCAATGCTTGTTATCCCTCAAATGAACAAACAGAGCATTGGATTCCTGGCCTGTCCTAACACTGTATTTGTGTTGTTTAATTCTAGTTGCAAGATCTTTACCTGTCTGGCCTAAGTAAAACATATTACATTCCTTGCAAGGAACTTTATAAATGCAACCAATTGTGTTGTTGGGGGAGTTCTTGATTAACATTTGTTTAACAGTGCATATATATATATATATATATATATATATATATATATATATATATATATATATATATATATATATATATATATATATATATATATATTGTTACGAACCACGCCATCAATTGTCATGATCTACCTACCCAGCACTACGAACCACGCCATCTATTGTCCTGATCTACCTACCCAGCACCACGAGCAACGCCATCTAGGGACGAAACCCGAGTATGACTAGTCTTAGTTACCACTCCGGGGTTTCCCTTCTCCATATCCTGGTTGTTGCGTCACCTATTCCAAGTCTTCCTCATCAGATCCAGATCGAGGAAAGTTCAGTTCACTCTGGGAAGTGACCACAGGATCACCTATCCTGGAAACCTACGGCACAGTGACTACCTACCGTCTTCTACAATACTCAGTCTTACTCGTCAGCCATTTCAGCTCCGCACTTAAGTATTTGTAATCTTATATTGCCTCCCCACCTCCACCATGCTTCAAATTATAGTATGTTGTATAAATATGTATATACTGTTAATGTTTAGGTTAAGTATGGTTAAGGGTAAATTATAGAAAGCTGAATATTTTGTTAAGGAATTTATGGTACTGTATTATACACAACAAAAACTCTCATCCTTTGTCTACCCTTTTATAGTCCGATTGTCTTTGTTTTTTTATTGTTGTTGCCTGTTGGGATCTGGGTAGACTTTTAACTGTATTCTACATCCCCAACTCGTAACAAATGGCGACCGTGACAGGACCCAACATTAAGTGCCATATTTCTTCCCCCCCTTGTTACTCCTTGTTAATTATTCCTCCCAGTCAGTTCTTTTCACAATTGCTTTACGGTGGTTTAAAGTTCCCTTCATATGTGTGTGCATATATTGGTATTATCGTACAGTAAGAGTGACAGACGTAGGATATTAGGTTACAAGTGTCATAAGGCTTACCTGTTATTACACGTGGCAATCGTGTAGTAAGTCTTATCGAGTGTAGGGAAGAATCCGGATCTGTTTAATGCCGTACCCTCGCTCCAGAGTAGGCTGTTCCATAGTCACTAGTTTATTGTGAAGTGATATCTTGGGACGCCCGGCTCTACCAGGGCCCCATAATTATAAAGCCTCAATTATTGTTCTTCTCATTATCTCATTCGGGGTCAATAATAAAGTAACTCAAGGGTTGTTTATCCGGATCTTTATATTAATGCCGTAATACGCCCTTCCTGTTTCAAGTATCTGAGGGTTGTTAATCCTGATCTTTATATTAATGCCGTAATACGCCCTTCCTCTTCCAAGTCTCTTATCCTTATTTAAGGATCTTATCAGAAGAACAATATTCATAAGTGTAATTTCCCTAGGTATAACTTGGGTAGTTTCCGGGACTTCCTGGTTATCCACTGCCGTGATATTTTCTAGGGTAATCCACTTATCTTATCTTTTTTGGCCATTAGTTAATTTATCTAGTTTTTCTTAACAATGGCCACCTCAGATTTTGATCTCCAGGATTTTATTGAAAATCCTTCCGTAGCTAAATTACGTGTTAATATCCTGAAGAAAGAATGGAAAGAAATAGCCAACTATTACAATATCCCATATTCACAGCAACTGACTAAGGAAATGTTAAAAAATCAGGTAATTGAAATGTTGGTTCAACAAGAAGTTTTAAAAGAATCCGCTGTTGACAGATTAACGCCCATGTCCAAGAAACTTCAACCACTATCCACCACCCCTCCTCACTCAGAAGTTGCTTCAGGTCTGGCTAGCCCTCAAGAAAAAACACAGAGTAGACGCCTTAGAACTAGAACGAGCTAGGTTCGAGTTCCAAATCAAAATTAAAGAACTCGAGTTGGAACAGGCCAAGTTGGAGCAGGAGGAAAAGTTGGAACAGGCCAGGTTGGAGCATGAGGAAAGGTCGGAACAGGCCAAGTTGGAGCGTGAGGAAAAGTTGGAACAGGCCAAGTTGGAACAGGCCAAGTTGGAGCATGAGGACAAGTTGGAACAGGCCAAGTTGGAGCATGAGTTGGAACAGGCCAAGTTGGAACAGGCCAAGTTGGAGCATGAGGGAATGTTGGAACAGGCCAAGTTGGAGCAAAAGTTGGAGCATGAGGGAAGGTTGGAACAGGCCAAGTTGGAGCAGGAGGTTAGACTGAAAGAACTACAGGTGAAAGAGAAAGAAGTCACCTTAACATCGGAGTTTAAATCAAAAGAAGTGGCATTAAAAGAGAAACTAGCTGCTTTTAACCCTGCTAATGCTTCTTCCCTTGTTCCCGGGTTTGATGAATCCGATATGGACGGGTCATTTAGGACTTTTGAGAAAATAGCCGGGGAGAATGAGTGGCCTAAGGACCAGTGGGTGTCGGCGTTAGTTCCTATATTATGTGGTAAGGCTCGTAGAGTTTATAACTGTTTAGACCAGACTGATGACTATGATAACGTAAAAAAGAATATCCTCACCTCATATGCTATCACGCCAGATGGATACCGGCAGAAGTTTCGTAAACTAACCAAAACATTTTCACACACCTTTGTTGAGTTTGCTCAAGAAAAGCTTAGGTTTTTCAAGAAGTGGTTAGAGGCTACAGAGACCTCCACATTTCAGGATTTGTTAAACTTGGTAGTCCTGGAGGAGTGGAAGAGCAAGATACCATTTCGCATCTTGAAGCATGTGGAGGAGTGTGGAGAGGTTAATTTAGGGCGTGCGGCTGAGCTGGCTGATGCGTACGCCTTGCTGGTGGAGTCACTGGGCAGTAGGGAACGTGGTACTTTCCGGCATGTTAGGTCCTCCTCTGATGATAACCTTGGGGGCGTGAGTGGTAGGTCGAAAGGTCCCACACCTACCCCCCCTGATGCAACCAAGTTTTATTGTTCTTACTGTAAAAAACCAGGTCATACGATCCAGTCTTGTAAACACCCAAAGTGTCGAACTTCTTAAAGTAGTTCCCTGGATCCCAAATTCAAAACAATAGCAACCACCAATGTGGAAAGGCCCCATCAGGATCTCTTCTCTTCATTCACCTATGAGGGAAAAATTTCAATCATAGAGGGGTCTCGTTCTTTCCCTATTCGTATACTACGTGATACGGGCGCAGCACAATCTATCCTCCTGTTTAACGTCATTCCTGATATATCTACAGCATTTACTAATGAGAGTGTTCTAATTTCAGATCTCTCATCCCATTCTTCCTATCCTTTAGCTAAAGTGCACCTCCAATGTCCCTTGATTACTGGGGAAGTGCAGGTAGCCATTAGGAAAGATCCAATGCCTGTGAGCGGCATTCATTTATTATTGGGTAATGACTTGGTAGGAGATCTAGTGGTTCCCAACATAAAGACAGTCGACTCTCCCTTACCTGTCAACTCCACCACTGACCTTGAAGAAACTATTCCTCACCTTTTCCCATCTTGTGCTGTCACCCGGTCACAGAGTGTGCGAAATGGGCCCTCTTCATCTAAAACCACCTCCAATATCTTCCTACCCACAGAAGATCTGTACAATAAGACCATTAGTAAGGATGAGCTCATTAAAGCCCAGCACTACACTCTGGGAAGTGACCACAGGATCACCTATCCTCTAAACCTGCGGCACAGCGACTACCGACCGTCTTCTACAATACTCAGCCTTGCTCGTCAGCCATCTCAGCTCCGCACTTAAGTATTTGTAATCTTGTATTGCCTCCCCCACGTCCACTTGCTTCAAATTATCGTATGTTGTATTAATATGTATATACTGTTAATGTTTAGGTTAAGTATGGTTAAGGGTCAATTATAGATAGCTGAATGTTTTGTTAAGGAATTTATGGTACTTTATTATACACAACAAAAACTCTCATCCTTTGTCTACCCTTTTATAGTCCGATTGTCTTTGTTTTTTTGTTGTTGTTGCCTGTTGGGATCTGGGTAGACTTTAACAATATTCTAAATCCCCAACAAAATATATATATATATATATATATATATATATATATATATATATATATATATATATATATATATATATATATATATATATATATATATCCCTTATTGTGTTAATTACGCTTGATATTACTTGGGACATGTTATACTGTAGCTATTATCGTCTTATTAATACTTAGGAGACCTTTTAATATTTTCGACCTTCGATGTTGGCTATTAAGTCAATACACTTCCATGATCATATTGCCTTTCCGATAAAATTAGTGTACACCATTACACACCATTATTAAAAGATAAATTTTAGTTAATAGCAAGTCGTCATACTGTACACGCTTCTGACCCTTATACTGGCTGGTTGTGGCCAAACTTCTCAACTAAGCTTTCACTCTCAAACCGAACTCAGTGACCCTTTTAACAGGTCTTTATAGCTTATAGAGGCTGTTCTTGTTTAGCTTATTTTTTATTTAATTTCTCTTTAACATCTACCATCAAAGACTATGTTACTTCCTTGATACACAAAATGCACGTAAGACATACATAAAGGTAAATAAGAGCGCATGTCAGTCTTACAGAATTAAATTATTCATTTGAACATAAATTGAAACCTAGCACATACTGTATTTACTTCACTCACAAGAATTAATAACGATAATTAAATACCACATCTACCTAATTATGTTATTAAGTATTACTGCACTGCAACAAGTAAGTTTTTTTATACATATTACGTATGTTGGGTTAATAATATACACACTCGTCACACTTACCTCGCCAGCAGCTATCTTGACGAAGGGCTTCTCAGCAGCCATGGTAGTAACACTTCCAACTCGCCTTCTGCTAGCGGCCACAAACAATCTAACCAGTGTAGAGAAGTTAGAGCATTAATGGTTTCGTTAGAGGTGAAGATGACAAGAGTTCATTAGGAAAAATTAAGACGATACCGGGAATTATGTAAACAAATAGGGATAATTCCCGATTAGCGATAACTCCTATGTATTTCCAGCCAGAAGTTTCCAAAAAGGATAAATACATACGAGTTATCGCTAATCGTGAATTATCCCTATTTGTTTATACAATTCCCGATTATTCTCATAAGAACATAAGTCTATTCTTATGTTCTTATGCTCTTATGAGTATAATCGGGAATTGTATAAACAAATATTGATAATTCTCGATTAGCGATAACTATATATATATATATATATATATATATATATATATATATATATATATATATATATATATATATATATATATATATATATATATATATATATATATATATATATATATATATATATAAATGTTTTTTGGGGGGGTGGGAGACTTCTAACTGGTAATAAAGGATCATGTAGGCCGTAAATACATCTTTATAAAATTTTAATACAAACGTAACCTAACCCAACTTAACCTACTTTAGGTATAATTTTGCTATTTTATGTGAGTAAACGATGCCTTACACGAAACAGATCAAAATTTAACATGTGCAAATTAATTTAGACAACTAAAAAAAAATATCCGTTTTCGACAATAACCTCACTTGCTTTTTAAGGCTTAAGCGGCATTTTTCCCTATTCATATACATGTATTTTACGACGTACAGTCCCCAAAAAGTATCATTAGACATGTTTTCGAACGATGTGAATCCTCCGATGTTTCAGATCATATATTACATGAATTGAAAAGGATGTCGCAAATGGACACCATCAAAGGGATCTTACATTGAATGGAGCGAGGAATTATCCATGGGACATCGCAAGATGTGAGAGGTACTATAATTGGCCTTCACAACGAGGGTATACGCAACGCTGAAATAACACGGCGAAATGGGGTGCGAGAATCCACATTTTCACGATATGTATGGCGCCACGAGCAACTGGCGCCACACTGAAACTTACAAACAAATGTCTTACTCTTACTATAGGTGGACGGGGGGGTTCTCTTGCCTGCAAGTCCTTTGATTTGAAACCTTATTTAGGTATTAATTTATCCAATGCAATTTACATATAATTAACGTGGCAGTTCCTATGAAGACCGATATATTGTTCACTCCAAGTACTATTTGCTTAGTCTCTCTTCATAAATCAGAAATATCGTGAACAACATGCGTAGGCATACTGAGACAATCGGTATGAGTGATACTCCGTTACTACAACGACGTAATGGTTGAAATTGACATTGAAATACTTTATTGACAATAAAACTATTACATCACCTTCACCTTTACCATCGCCTTCTGGGGTTTACAAAAAGTTATAAATGTTAATACAATAATTATTTTTACAGCAATGAAATAGTTAATTTTGGCATGAACACTGTACTACATTAAAAGAACAGATAATGTAATCATACACCAAATTAAATGTCAGATCCTTGGAGCACAATTTTTATGCATTGCAAGAATTAGTTTAATTTTTCCATTATTAATCATCCAACAAACTTGTTTCTTTAAAGAAGTGATCTCACTGTTCATGTATAGTTGGATTTTTTCACATCTTAATACATAATGTTGTAGTGTATGTGCATCCCTAAGATGACACAGTTGACAAGGTTGACCCGCCCTTCCACTTATCTGCCAGTAATATTTGTATCACAATCTTAGTCTCATTATAACAGTATCAACAGATGGTAAGTTAGTCTCATAAGTTACATTGGTATTTTGTAAAACATACTAATAGTGCTGAAAACTCTAGCTACATATGGCAATCATTTTCTCTTCTTGCTTTTTCCCATCCCTCTCTTTTTCTTTTAATTTCCCTCTTTATCGTTTTAATACTTTCATTGCTAACAATATCTATATACATCTTTTCTGCGGCTTTTTTGGCCAATGTGTCAGCTATTTCATTTAAATGAATCCCAACACGTGATGGAATCCATCCAAACTGCACAGTACATCCCAAGTCGTTTACAGATATTAACAATATTAAAGTTACATGGATTTTTACTCAGCTAAGCTTCCAATGCACTTTTACTATCAACAAAAATATATGTTTCTTTACATTTCTCAATAGCAACCTGGAGTCCTTCCCATATTGCGTGTAGTTCGGTCAGCGTGGATGAGGTGTTCTTACTAGTTCTTTTTCAAACTGTTTCATCTGCATAGCACTCAGTGACAAAATATTCCCTTATAAAAACATCACATCCCGCTTGACCGTTACTTAATACTGATCTATCACAATATATATGTACAGTGTTTCGCCTAGTAAAACTATTTATTTTCTCTAAAAAGACATTTCTTAAATAATTGGGATGCCAATCACCTTTTTTACCCTCAAGCTGTAAAATGTCTACTGAAATGCATCCTTCCTGCCACGGTCTAAACCTAAAATAAGTTTGAAATGAAATGCAATATTTATCTACTCCATACTCCATCATAATATTATACAATAGCCTTGCATATTCGGGCACATTGCCAAGATCTGTTCTTTCATTTAAATACATTATTGTACGGGACAACCTATTATCTCCTCCTCTCCTAATGGTCCTAAGACTAGCGGCTACAGCAAGTTCCTTTACTCTATGTTCTATACTTGGTAAATCTAACTCCATTCTCATTATTTCAATTTTAGTGTTCCGTTGATAACCTAAAACAATTCTTATGGCCTCGTTTTGTATCACTTCAAACTTTTGTATAACTTTCTTACTGTACATTATAAGGATGGGAGCTGCATAGTCAATAACTGAATGTATAGTACTGATATAAACCATCCTTAAAATAGGAATACCTGCGCCATGCCAAAGCTCTTAAAGGTCTTAAACGTCCTTTACATGCATTATCCAGGTACTGCATCTCACGTACTTTACTGTTGGACTTATACCCAATGTACATCCCAAGGTATTTGTAAACATCAACTTTTTCTAACCTTAATCCATTCAAAAATAAATTCCCTTGTTCATAATTTCTGACCTCATATTTAGTTTGTTCATTGTTAATTACACGGTCAATTCTACAACAAAGTGACTCAATGTAAAAGTATATCATTAGCATATATTATAACCTATGTGTCTCCAGGAAATTCGTAGCGAGCCATTATGTTCATCAACATGTTAAAAAGAGTGGGGCTAAGTACACCTCCCTGTGGAGTCCCCAACTCCATCTCTCTTTCTTCTGAGTACCAACCCTGTAACCATATTCTACCCATTCTGTTACTCAAGTAATTCACAATCCATTTCAGCAACTTCCCAGAAACTCCTAAATTAATTAGTTCGTCAAGTATGACTTCTTTATTTGCCCTATCAAAGGCCCCTTTTAAGTCTACAAAAGTCCTGCATGTAGCCTCGGAGTAAATTTGGCGCCAAGAGATTTTTCACTTTATGCAACAACCTGTTTAATACTATTCTTTCTATCATTTTACTAAAGCAAGAGGTTAAAGATATTGGACGAAAATCTACATTGTTCTTTGGTATTGGTACACTTACTGCTTCCTTCCACTTAAGAGGGATACAACCTCCAATAAAAGACATTTTAAACAAGTCTAACAGAGGCCCTTCTCTAATTCCAGCGAGAAAGTTAAGGATATCATATGTTATTCCATCATCACCGGGTGCCGTAGACTTTCCCTTTTTAATCGTATAGAATAACTCGCCTCTCGTTATAGGAACACATGTATCATCCCCCAGTGTACACTGACTTTGTACTAACTCACGCCTAAGTCTACTCTTACTTTGTAATGAGGCCTGCATACTCTGAGGTAATTCGGCAAAACTAGCAATCCCAGCTCATTTCCTAATAAATTGACTAGCCCTGCCCTGTGGGTCAGCGTAGCTGTTGTCCTTGCTTCGAACACCTCGCTCTTTATTCACTTCCTTCCATATATCACCCAAGCTCTTGCCTTTAGCGATTCTCCCTAAAAAGTCTGTCCAGTATTTATTCCCCGCCTCTTGCTTGATTTCATTATCATTTGGATTTGCACTCCATTCTCTTTGCACTTTTCTAAGGAGTTTACTCGAGCCCTGAACCAATTTGTAGCCTCGTGTTTCCTAGCTGGATTCGGTAAAATGCTACTCCAACCACATAGTTGCCGGCATTGGCAATCCCCAGTGGAGGTTCACGGCGCTTAACAAGCACGATGAACAGGCTTTGTGTACATAAGAACATAAGAAACATAAGAAAATAAGGAGTCTGCAATAGGTCCGCAAACTTGCTTATGTCACTGCTTATCCCAGTATCTAGATCGTTTATGTAGATTATGAACACGAGTAGGCCCAGTACCGACCTTTTTTTTTTTTTTTTTTTTTTTTTTTTTTTTTTTTTTTTTTTTTTTTAGGTTAAGGTGGGGAATGGAAGGAAGGCATGCTGGGGCTCAAGGCACAGCCAGACATGAGGGATAGGAGAAGTCACAACATATAGTCGTGGGGGGAAAGGTTGGAAAAGAAGTTTAATGAGTTAAACAGAGGGGGACGACACCCCTTGTTTTACATATTACAGAGTTTGTTGGCTAACTAAGCTAACCTAGGATTTAGGATGAGGTTGCACAATGGTTATTTTAGTAGACAATGACTAGATTGATTTTACAATTACAAGTTTATTAAAATCTTATACTGTATTACGTTATGGACTCACTAGATTGTGACTTGTTAAATGTGAATTTATATCATCTAAGTTTTAATCTAAGGTGGATCACTGTGGCGGACATAGATGGGTCGCGGGTTGGGTTTTTGTAGTGCGGGCAGGCTCTGGGGCCACCAGACTGACCCCTGGGGAACCCCACTGGTTACTCAACCCCACTCACAATTAACACCATCTACGCTGACCCTCTGTGTTCTATCGGTGAGCCATGATTTTATTCAATTTACAACTTTCCCCTCAATACCATGAGCTTTAACTTTTCTCAGAAGCCTCTCATGCAGTACTC